CTTCTAGGGCCTCCTGGCAGTCCTTGGTGTTCCTTGGTTTGTAGCTGAACCACACAGTCTCTGCCTCCTCCTTCATAGGACCTTCTTCCCTTGTGTGTGTGTGTGTGTGTGTGTCTCTGTGTCTTCCTATTCCTCATCTTTCTCTTATAAACACACCTGTCACCAGGTTTAGGGCCTGCCCTGATCCAGTATGACTTCATTTTAACCTAACATCTGCAAAGACCTTTTTTCCAAATGAGGTCACATTCTGAGATTCTGGTACATATGGATTTTGGCACTATTCAACCCAATACAGAAATATGTAGACAAAGTGATTTTTGTTTGTTTCAGTGCTTGCTTATTTTATTTAATAATGTTACACCTGGAAAATTAAATCACTGGGTCCTTTGTGATACATACATAACGCCAATTTGAAAAACCTACGTTTCCTAGAGATAGCAATTATTTGATAGGAAGTTCTCCCAAAATCTAATGAGATGTTATACCAAATATGAGATTCATGAAAGAAATGGTCCCCATAATTGGTAATGCTGTAGTAACTTAGCATCATTTCTTGTGGCTTTCAACAACTGTTTTAACTCTTTTGAAATTATACAAATGTAGACAAGGCTTGTGGGATAGAAGAGAATGAGATTTTGTACCTGATTCAATTTCAGATTTTCTCTAGGATAGCATGATTTAAAAATAATCCATTTCCATGAGGAACAATTTAGGCCTTTTGTTTACAACTTGCCAAAGGGGAAAAAAAATCTACCTTATTTAGTGTTTAAATAAATTCGCCAGTTGGAGAGGGTATCATGTAGTTAAAATTTGTTATCATTTTATTGGGATTAAAATAATTAACTTATATACCTCATTTCCTCATGGCATGACTAAAATAAAATAAACAGAACAAAAACAGATCCCTTACCTTGAAAAAGAAAACAGATGAAACTTTCAATACCAGAGGTATTTGAAATACTGGAGTCCATTCTCTCTTCACTGAGGTTTAATTACAAGAATTAAAATTCTGAATATTAAACCCACATTGCAGATAGCTATTAAAATAAGCAGGAAATGCAGAAAAGATAGTTCTCTTATACCATATTTTCATTTCTACTCTCATCCTGTATAGCTTTAACTAAAATGCAGCAATCTAAAAATGCATACATGTCACACTGGTGCCAGTGGAATAACCATAATTTTTATTTACCTTTCATTTCTTCCTGAAGGCAAAAATCTGAAAGGAAACACCTGTAGATTTTGCCTTCTAGTCCTTGACTCTTCTAGCAATATGATCCACAGACTAGAGTTTGGACACTGTTTCATTTCAGATTGGAGGAAGGGAAAATTGTAAAGTGCCTTTTACATAGCCATCTGCTCTATTTCCCCTAGTGGCAACTCAGCTCCCCACTGGCTGGGTGCACCAGTATATTTCCTTTTCGATACCTACTGCAGGAAGCTCTGTACAGGTGTGCCTCACAGCCAGCACCTGGGGACCTTTACTACTACTACCTTCCTGTGATGGGTGGTGGGGCTGGGAGCTGAACACTGCCCACTCCACCCAAGCTCTTCTTGGCTCACACTACCCCCACTGCCCTTCTCCATCGTATGTTGATCTTGTAGATCACAGACAAGAAGCAATAATAAAAGCACCAGTCAGTTTCCCACAGACTCTTGAAAAAATGTACTTGTATCTCAGAGGAATGTCTAGGTTGGATGCTATCTAGGTTTAATGCCTTTTCACTTCATTGGGTAAAGCTATTTTAGTGCATTCCCTAACAGGCTCATGTTTGACAGATTGCTATGCATATAAAGATTTGTGGTATAATAAAATTGACTTTTTCTTCTGCATGAATCAGAAACCAAAGTAGAAAATAGCCTTTCCATTGATCAAATAAGTAAATATTGGGTGCCAAATATGTGCCAGCCACGACTATTAGCACTAAGTATGCCAAAATCAGCAGAATAGAGGTGGTTTCTACACTGACAGAGCTTGTAGACAAACAATAAGCAAGTAACTCTATAATTAGAAAGTTATAAACTCTGGTAAGTTCTACAAAGTTGAAAAAAATATTTTTTAAAATGGGATTTATGAAAGTTAATGATGCGAGGCAAACATGGAGGTTTCTGTGAGACCATGGCAGTAGAGATGAAATCTGATGGTGAGTAGCAACTTATTAAGTGAAATACAGAGGCTGGAAGCACTCCAGGTAGAGATAAATATACACAAAGATGTTATGTGAGAAAAGAACGGAATGCATTCAAGGGTTTTGACCAGGAGATGGATGTGATAGAGTTGTCTGTGAACAATATGATATCACTTACTGTGGTAAGGAGAACTAAAAGAGGTTACAGATGATATCGTAAGTTAGGTTCTGGATATATTGTATTTGGGTTATTTGTGAGACCTCCAGGAAAAAACATCAAGTGTCAGATATACAGGTGTGAGACTCTGAAGGGGCTCATTCACGTGAATACATTTGAGAGTCATTGACATATTGAAGACAATTACAACAGTGAGGCAGAGAAGAGGAAAGGAGAAAGGAGTCCAGAAGCCAGCCTTAGCAGCTCCAATACTTAAGAGACCAGGTGGAGTTAAATGAGCCCACAAAAGGACTCTCAAAGGGGAGGAGAGGAGAAAACCTAGGAGAACGGCTCGGTTCCAGAAGACAAGGGAAAAGATTGTTTTAAGGACAGAATGATGGCTGTTGTAAAATATGCTGAGAAATTAAGTAATATGAAAGCTGAACAGTATCCTTTTAGTTTGGGGCCTTAAGGATGATTGGTGACCTTAGCAGGAGCCATTTCAGGAATGACGGGGGTGGAAGTTGGATTGAAGGGGGTTGAGGAGAGTGTAGGAAGGATGTTGTTCAACAAAAATTCACTATTTTGTGAGCCTATGTATGTTCATCATCTAACAGGATGGAAAAATAACTAATAACTCTCAACTGCTTGGTTATGCCGTAGGTTTCTTGGAGACAGAAAGAGAGAGAAAAAAGAGAGAGGAGAGGAAAGAAAAGTAAGAAAGAGAAAAAAAATTATTCAACCCATAGGCAAAAGGTGAACCACAAACAAAGATGCTGGCAAGTGATCTAAAAGTATTAGTATGACTTTCCATTTAAGACTTGGGGGTAAGTTTCCCCCTGGAACATAAAATGTTCACCAGTAAGATGAAATATTTCACTGCATTTGAAGAGCAGACTTTTATCTGATACAAATTCAGTCTAGTGAAACAATTTATGGTTTGTTAAATATTATGTTTTAAGGTCTTTCACTTCAGCATGGCCAATGAAAGAAAGATAGAAAAGGCCTCTTAGAATGAAGAAACAGGCTTGCCATCCTGAATTATTTTGTTTTTATCATAGTAACTTAATAAACATTATATTAACTTACAATCTCCCAGTAAAAGGTCTTTGGGGACATAATTTTAATTATTAATACAGGCATACATCATTTTCTTGTGGTTCACTTTTTTGCACTTTATAGATACCGTATTTTTTTACAAACTGAAGGCTTGTGGCAACTCTGTATCAAGCAAGTCTGTTGGTGCCATTCTTCCAACAGAAAGTGCTCAATTTGTGTCTCTTTGTCAGTCACATTTTGATAATCCTTGCAATATTCCAAATGTTTGTATCATTATTATATCTGTTATGGTCATGTGTGATCAGTAATCTTTGATGTTACTATTATAATCATTTTTGGGTGTTACAAACCATGCTCGTATAAGGTGACAAACAAGCAATATGTTACATGTGTTCTAACTGCTCCACCAACCAGCAGTTCCCCATCTCTCTCCTTCTCCTTGGGCCTCTCCATTTCCTGAGATGCAACAATATTGAAATTAGACAAATTAATAACCCTACAGTGGCCTCTCAGTTTTCAAATGAAAAGAAAAGTTGCACATCTCTCTCTTAAAACAAAAGTAGAAATGATTAAGCTTAGTGAGGAAAGCATGTCAAACACTGACACAGGCTGAAAACTAGGCCTCTGACAACAAATAGTAGCCAAGCTATGACTGCAAAGGAAAAGTTCTTGAGGGTAACTGAAAGTACTACACCAGTGAACACATGAATGATAGGAAAATGCAACAGCCTTATCGCCAATATGGAGACAGTTTTAGTGGTTCTGGATAAAAGATCAAACCAGCCATAACATTTTCCTAAGCCAAAGCCTAAACCAGAGCAAGCCTCTAATTCTTATCAGTTCCTGAAGGGTGAGAGAGGTCAGGAAGCTACAGATGAAAAGTTTGAAGCTAGCAGAGATAGGTTATGAGGTTTAAGGAAGAAACCAACTCCATAATATGAAAGCACAGGTATTGATGGAGAAGCAAGTGTTGATGGAGACGCTGCAGCAAGGTATCCAGGTAGGTAAGGTAATGGATGAAGGTGGCTGCACTAAACAACAGATTTAGTGTAGATAAAACATTCTTAAATTGGATAAAACAGTCTTATCTACACTAAATATAGATAAAACAGTCTTAAATTGGAGGAATATAGCATCTAGGACTTTCATAGCTACAGAGAAGTCAATGCCTGGCTTCAAAGCTTCAAAGAACAGGTTGACTCTCTTGTTAGGGGCTGAGGCACCTGATGACTATAAGATGAACCCAATGCTTATTGAACATTCTGAAAATCCCAGAGCCCTTAAGAATGATGCTAAATCTACTTTGCCTGTGTCTATTAATGGAACAACAATGCCTTGATGACACATCTGTTTACAGCATGGTTTATTGACTATTTTAAGCCAACTGTTGAGACCTACTGCTCAGGAAAGAAAAATACTTTCAAAATATTATTGCTCATTGACAATGCACCTAGTAACCCAAGATCTCTGATAGAAATTAATATTGCTTTTATGCCCGCTAACGCACCATCCATTCTGCAGCCCATAAATCAAGGATTAATTTTATCTTTCAAATCTTATTACTTAAGAAACATATTTGGTAAATCTATAGCTTATAATTCAAAAAAGAAGGTCAAAAGAAAAAGTAATAGGAGTGTGTAAGAAATGATCCTAACCCTCATGAATGACTTGGGGGGCTTTAAGGCTTCAGCGGAGGAGGTAACCGCAGATGTGATGAAAAAAGCAAGAGAACTAGAGTTAGAAGTGGAGCCTGGAGAGGTGACCGAATTGTTGCAATCTCATGATAAAACTTCAATGGATGAGTAGTTGCTTCTTATGAATGAGCAAAGAAAGTGGTTTGTTGGGATGGAGTCTACTTCTGATGACGATTCTGTGAACACTGTTAAAATAACAATAAAGAATATTACATAAACTTAGTTGATAAAGCAGTAACATAGTTTAAAAGGCTTGACTCTAATATTGAAAGAAGTTCTATTGTGGGTAAAATGCCATCAAACACCACATACTATGGATAAATCTTTCATGGAAGGAAGAGCCAATTGATGAGGCAGACTTCATTGTTGTCTTATTTTAAGAAATTCTCACAGCCACCTCATCTTTCACCTGATTAGTGAGCAGGCATTAATATCAAGGCAAGACCATTCACCAGGAAAAAGATTATAACTTGTTGAAAGTTCAGGTGATCATTAGCAGGTTTTTTTTAAGCAATACAGTATTTTTAAATTAAAGTATGCACATTATTTTTATAGACATAATGCTATGAACACTTACTAGATTACAGCATAGTATAGTGTAGTATAGTATAGTATACTATACTATAGTGTATAGTATAGTGTATAACTTTAATGTGCACTGGGAAACCAGAAAATTTGACACACTTTCTTATTCATTTTCACTTCATTGCATTGGTCTGAAACTCAATCACCCATATCTCCAAAGTATGCCTGTGTACTGTGCATCATACATTACTATAGCAAGTAATTTCAAATAAAATATTCACATTTTAAAAACCTACATTGTGTCCATCTTAACTTCTCCATCTGTTTTCTAAACTGCATTAATCCTTCCAACCCCACTTCAGTCCCTCTCATTTGATCCCTTCCATTGACTTAATTCTACTGTCAACCACTAGATCTTCTGTTACACTTGAGGTTCTTCTGGATCCCTCTCCAACTTTCAATATTTTCCTTTTCCTTTTCTCTCACTGCTTAGCACATATGGAAGAATCACTCACACGTTCCATACACCTTTAAAGTCACAGAGTAGAAATGAGTTTATTAGTAACATGTTTTATGCAAAAAAAAAAAAAAAAAAAAGATTAAGCGCAAGATGGCACGGTAGGAACAACTCAGGATTGCAGCTCTCAGTGAAGATGCGGAGGGTGAGTCCAAGCCACATTTCCAGATGGATCTTTGTTGCCCACAGAACGGGAAAATTCCCAGGTGTAGGAGAGACAGGGGTCTCCAGCACAGCCCTTTCGGCTGGAGCGGCCATATTGGCCGGCACCACAGTGCAGTGGCACCCCACACAAAACGCACCAGTCTGGGTGCCTGTTAAACCAGCAATCTGAGATTTGGGAGGACAGATTAACATATCCATCTGATTAAACAGGACTTGGACAGGGAGCCAGACCAGGAGATTTCCGGGAAGTGACATTTGAGCCGGTGCAGTGGGTGACTGCACGGGAAATCACACAGATCCCGGTGCCCTATCAGCAGGCAACTGAAACACCTAGGAGAGAGTCAACCGTTAAACTTAAAAAAAAAGAGAGAGAGAGAGAAAGGGCTCTGAGGCAGGAAGCCAGGTGATCAGGCTCGGTGGGTCCCACCGCCACAGGGACAAACAAAATGGCGATTCGAAATGCACGGGGTTGAGAGTTTCACTGCGAGCATAGCTGAATCCAGGATGGTGCAGCTCAGTGGGGGAGGGGCGTCTGCCATTACCGAGGCATCCCGCCCCACTGAGGTACACTCCCAACACTGACGCAGCCTGCCATTGCCAAGGCAACCCGCCATAACAGAGAGACTCCGTGAACAGGGCGGAGCCCACGACAGCAGGGCGGAGCCCACGGGAAACAGGGCGGAGCCCAAAGCATCAGGGCAAAGCACAGGAAAACAGGGCGGACCCCATGGTAGCAGGGCAGAGCCTCGGCAGGCAAATAGTGACTAGACTGCCTCCTAGCTGGGCAGGACAGTACAACAGATACTCATAAAGAAAGCCCTAACTCCCCAAGACAGAGCATCTGAGGAAAAAAAGGGGTTTTATAAGTTCTGCCGCAGCAGACTTAAACACACCTGCCTAAAAGCTCTGAATGAACAATGGAGCTCACAGCTCAGCACTTGAGCTCCTATAAAGTAAAGACTGCCTCCTCAAGCAGCTCCCTGACCTCTGTATATCCAAAGAGTCAACTCAAAAAAGACTGATTAGACTGACTTTTGGTGGGCATTACTCTGGGACAAAGATAGCAGAAGAAGAAACTGGTAGCATCCCTCACTGTTCTGCACCTGCTACAGGTATACCCCAGACAAGCAGGGCCTGGAGTGGACCTCAGCAGTCATACAGGAGAGGGGCTAGACTGTTAGAAGGAAAACTAAGTAACAGAAATACTTCATCATCAACAATCTGGGCGTCCACTCAGAGACCCAATTGAAAAGTCAGCAACTATTCAAACAACAGGTGAATAAATCCACAAAGATGGGAAGAAACCAGCTCAAAAAGGAGGAAAACACCCGAAACCAAAACACCGCGACTCCTACAAAGGACCAGAACTCCTCACCAGCAAGGGAACAAAGCTGGATGGAGAACGAGTGTGACGAAATGATGGAATCAGATTTCAGAAGGTGGATAATGAGAAATTTCTGTGAGCTAAAAGAACATGTTCTAAATCAATTCAAAGAAACCAAGAACCTTGAAAAAAGATTCGAGGAAATGATAACAAGAATGGATAACTTAGAGAGGAATACAAATGAATTGAAGGAGCTGAAAAACACAACATGAGAACTTGGAGAAGCATGCACAAGTTTCAACAGCCGAATTGACCAAGCAGAAGAAAGAATATCAGAAGTCGAAGATCAACTCAATAAAATAAAAAGAGAAACCAAGATTAGAGAAAAAAGCACAAAAAGGAATGAACAAAGTCTTCAAGAAATGTGGGATTATGTGAAGGGACCTAACCAACGTTTGCTATGTGTATCAGACTGTGATGAAGATAATAAATTCAAGCTGGAAAATACTCTCCAGCCTATTATCCAGGAAAATTTCCCCAACCTAGCAAGTCAGGCCAATATTCAAGTCCAGGAAATACAGAGAACACCACAAAGATATTCCACAGGAAGAGCAACCCCAAGGCACATAATCATCATATTCAACAGGGTTGAAATGAAGGAGAAATTACTAAGGGCAGCCAGAGAGAAAGGTCAGGTCACCCACAAAGGGAAGCCCATCAGACTCATAGCAGATCTGTTGGCAGAAACCCTACAAGCCAGAAGAGAGTGGGGGCCAATATTCAGCATCCTTAAAGAAAAGAACTTTCAACCCAGAATTTCATATCCAGCCAAACTGAGCTTCATAAGTGAAGGAAAAATAAAATCCTTAGTGAACAAGCAAGTACTCAGAGACTTTGTCACCACCAGGCCTGCTTTACAAGAGCTCCTGAAAGAGGCACTACACATAGAAAGGAACAACCAGTACCAGCCATTCTAAAAACATACCAAATGCTAGAGAGTATTAACAAAATAAAGAATCTGCATCAACTAATGGGCAAAACAGTCAGCTAGGATCAAAATGGTAGAATCAAATTCACACATAACAATATTAACCCTAAATGTAAATGGGCTAAATGCACCAATCAAAAGACACAGACTGCCAAATTGGATAAAAAACCAAAACCCATCGGTGTACTGTATCCAGGAAATGCATCTCACATGCAAGGATACACAAAGGGTCAAAATAAAGGGATGGAGGAAGATCTACCAAGCAAATGGAGAGCAAAAAAAAAGCAGGAGTTGCAATTCTCATCTCTGATAAAATAGACTTTAAAGCAACAAAGATCAAAAGAGACAAAGAAGGACATTACATAATGGTAAAAGGATCGATACAACAAGAAGAGCTAACGATCCTAAATATATATGGACGCAATACAGAAGCATTCAGATATATAAGGCAAGTTCTTAATGACTTACAAAGAGACTTAGACTCCCACACAATAATAGTGGGAGACTTCGACACTCCACTGTCAATATTAGACAGAAGAACCAGACAGAAAATTAACAAGGATATCCAGGACTTGAACTCAGACCTGGAACAAGCAAACCTGATAGACGTTTACAGAACTCTCCACCCAAATCCACAAAATATACATTCTTCTCAGCACCACATCACACCTACTCTAAAACTGACCACATAATTGGAAGTAAAGCACTCCTCAGCAAATGCAAAACAACTGAAATCATAACAAACAGTCTCTCAGACCATAGTGAAATCAAGTTAGAACTCAGAATTCAGAAACTAACTCAATACCACACAGCTTCATGGAAACTGAACAACTGGCTCTTGAATGTTGATTGGATAAACAATGAAATGAAGGCAGAAATAAAGAAGTCCTTCAAAACCAATGAGAATGAAGACACAACATACCAGAATCTCTGGGACACATTTAAAGCAGTCTCCAGAGGAAAATATATAGCAATAAGTGCCCACATGAGAAGAGTGGAGATCCAAAACTGACACCCTATCATCAAAATTAAAAGAGCTAAAGGAGCAAGATCAAAAAAACTCAAAACCTAGCAGAAGACAAGAAATAACTAAGATCAGAACAGAGCTGAAGGAGATAGAGACACGAAGGACCCTTCAAAAAATCAATAAATCCAAGAGCTGGTTTTTTGAAAAGATCAACAAAATAGACAGACCACTAGCCAGACTGATAAAAAAGAAAATAGAGAACAACCAAATAAATGCAATAAAAAACGATAAAGGGGAAATCACCACAGATTCCACAGAAATTCAAACCATCATCAGAGAATACTACAAACAACTCTATGCACATAAACTAGTAAACCTGGAAGAAATGGATAAATTCCTGGACACCTGTGTCCTCCCAAGCCTAACCCAGGAAGAAGCCGAAACTATGAATAGACCAATAACAATGTCTGAAGTCAAGGCAGCAATTAAGAGCCTACCACACAAAAAAGCCCAGGACCAGATGGGTTCACAGCCGAATTCTACCAGACACACAAGGAGGAGCTGGTACCATTCCTTCTGAAACTATTCCAAATAATCCAAAAAGAGGGAATCCTTCCCAAATCATTTTATGAGACCAACATCATCCTGATACCAAAACCGAGCAGAGATTCCACAAGAAAAGAAAACTCAGGCCAATATCCATGATGAATATAGATGCGAAAATCTTCAATAAAATACTGGCAAACCGATTGCAACAGCACATCAAAAAATTTATCCATCATGATCAAGTAGGATTCATCCCAGGGATGCAAGGTTGGTTCAACATATGCAAGTCTATACACGTAATTCACCACATAAACAGAACCAAAAACAAAAACCACATGATTATCTCAATTGACGCAGAGAAGGCATTTGACAAAATTCAACAGTCCTTTTTGCTAAAAACCCTCAATAAACTCTGTATCGATGGAACGTATCTAAAAGTAATAAAAGCTATTTACAACAAACCAACAGCCAATATCATACTGAATGGGCAAAAACTGGAAGCATTCCCTTTGAAATCTGGCACTAGACAAGGATGCCCTCTTTCACCACTCCTATTCAATATAGTACTGGAAGTTCTAGCCAGACCAATCAGGCAAGAAAAAGAAATAAAGGGTATTCAAATAGGAAAGGAGGAAGCCAAATTGTTCCTGTTTGCAGATGACAT